CTTGCCACAGTTGCTAAGTGAATTATTGCCTTTGTTAAATTAGCAACATGGTTGTTAAGTGAATCTGGATTCTCCATTGACTTTGCTTGTCAGAATGGCGCAAAAGGTGATCACGTGTCCCCGGGACATTGCAATCGTCATAAATATGAAGCAGATGCCAAGCATCTGAATTTTGGTCATGTGACCATGGGGAAAGGTTGTAAGTGTGAAAAATGGTCATAGCTCATTTGTTTTTCAGTGCGGTTGTAACTTTGAACAGTCACTAAATGAAATTGTTGTAAGTCGAGGACTACCTGTATGTATGTACAGCCTCCTGTTTACAGATTTATAATAAGACTGTTTATATGAATAAGATTTCTTGTCACAAAAGCCTTTGCTGTGGTTCATCTTTGCAGCATATTATCGTGTGAATGTTTGCATACAGAGAGCTGAAGACAGATACACTGGCAGATGTATTATAATGACTGCATTTGCTCACTGCACCATTTAGAACCCCACTGGAAAAATCACAATTTGTTGAATGACTCATTCTTAGTTGGGGGGTCACACCACAACTCTTTAAGCCATAAACTATAGTTTATAAATCACAGAGACTTTTCACATAAACACAAACCCAAAGCCAGTAAACAATGTTCAGATTAGCTCAAAGTAAAAAAATATGTTGGGGGGGAGGTGGGGTTGGTGAAGTTGTAACAGCTCTCACTATCAGAATTTGGCTGGGTCAGAGTTACTTCCTCCAAATTTCCCTAGAACAGGGGTGTCAAACTCGCGGCACATAGGCCGGATCCATCACACACTGGCTACACCCAGGCCTGTTTCAGCAAAGCGGAAAAAAGGTTGTGATATGTTACGTGATGACAACATGATGCGAATTTGACACCCCTGCCCTAGAATGCTAATTGTAGTAGTGTCTCAGATTTTCTACTTTAAGTGAGAATTAGGAATTTTTGATGGTTCTAAGGTTTTTTTAAAAATTAAAATTGTTGAAACCAAAATTCAATTTTGGAGAGTTATCTGCTCATGTAGCAATATGCTACAGAAGCTACATTAGGAAATAATAACTTGTTGAAAAATAAATTGGCTTCCTGTACAGGATTTCTAGCACTGAATTTATAAGCATGGATTTCTGATTCTGTCCATTTATAGATGGATGCTGGTGCTAACTTGCTTCGACAACTACTGAAACTACTCAGTTTAGCCAATTAACATGTGGAGACAGTGTTTTCGGTCCTATATACACTGTTTCCCTGAAAATAAGACCTCCCTGGATAATAAGCCCTATCAGGCTTTTGAGTGTATATGCTAAAGTAAACCCTCCCCTAAAAATATGCCCTCCCTGAAAATATTGCAACACAGCAGCAGCCATGAGGTGACCACGCTCGCCACCTCCTGCACCTCAAAAAGAATAAGACCTCCCCGAAAATAAGGCCAGATGCTTATTTTGGGGTCAAAAGAAACTAAGACCCTGTCTTATTTTCAGGGAAACACGGTAACATAAACTATAACAGATATTTTATCTGAACATATAAATTCACACATCCATATTAAGACCAAAATAGGCAATAGCAATGATTTAGCATACTAGAAGGTTGCATCCAATATCTCAGAGGCTGCCACAAAGAAAAGGAGTCAAGCTATTCTCCAAAGCACCTGAAGGTAGGACAAGAAGCAATGGGTGGAAACTAATCAAGAAGAGAAACAACTTAGAACTAAGGGGAAATTTCCTGACAGTTAGAACAATTAATCAGTGGAACAACTTGCCTCCAGAAGTTGTGGATGCTCCAACACTGGGCGTTTTAAAGAAGATGTTGGATAGCCATTTGTCTGAAGTGGTGTAGGGTTTCCTGCCTAGGCAGGGGGTTGGACTAGAAGACCTCCAAAGGCCACTTCCAACTCTGTTATTCTATTCTATCCTGCACCAAGCCATAAAACTGTTTGCTTGCTCCTAACTTAATATGTTGCATATTAATCCGCCTTTGTATTTTATAAGGGCCGATTTATTGCTTAGCATGCTCTATGAACCCGGCTACTTGTGTTATTAGCCAATAAATCTTTGTTAAAGCCAACCATAGATTGATTGATACAATATGGGATCACTGATATGTGAAAGAGAGGCTGGATTCACACCACACACAATTTTGCTACTGATTTAATTCATTTAATTCAAACTAGCACTATGGCAATTGGTCCAGCATGTGTGGCCACAATGAAAATAATAATCTCACGATGGTTAAAACTGAAACAACTTCGCAAATGCAAGTGCAGCCAACCACATTTTGAACTTCAAAATGCTGCCATTGTGAGGAAGTTGGGCACGGCGTTTCAACTTCACTTCCTTATCTTGATGTGAGAACAGAACAGAACCAAGTGTGCTGTTCTGAGCATGTTGGAGGACAGTAGTATAAAAATGTAACAAACGTTTATTGGATGATGCCAATCATGGAGTGAAAATTAGTTGAAGCAAACAACAGCAGCAACTGACCTTCTGAACGGCAAAGATTGTGCTTTAGACAAGACTGTGGCCCACTCCTACCTATGCTCCTTTCTTCCCTTTTACACACACATTTTCTCCCCTTTCCTTCTGATGTCTTGAGTCCTGTGTGTTACCCTCATCCATTGGTAATGGTATTGCCTTTACATTGGAATTTGCAAACTAGTTAGTTTCAGCTTTCAGAGGAACTTGGACAGAGGGTTTCCTTTAAGGTGCTAAACAGAGAAACTGAAGAAGGCTCTCCCAATCAAATTCCTGCAACTTGACCACCCACACACAAATGGGAACCCCCCACTTGCAGTAGATAGGTTACATGTAGAAAGTATTTACCATATTTTTCAGAGTATAAGATGCGCCAAGATTTTGAAGAGGCAAATTTTTTTAAAAAGTTTTTGCACTCTGCAGACTTCCCAAAAATGGCCCTTTTTTGTGAAAATGGGCCCATTTTTCATCCCAAAAAAGGCATGCATAGCTTTTAGGAGGCCTGTAGGGCGTTCCTGGGGGCTGGGGGGGGGGGATGAGCA